AAGTCAGTGAGAAGTGAGTGTTTCCCGCACTGGTGTTAAGCTGAGCTTTTAAATTTAGAGTGAGTGACCACACTGTCCTTAATCCCCAGGACAAGAGCACTCTGGGCCGCAGGCCGGCACCGAGCTATCTCTGTCACAAGCAGCTGTGGTCCAGCCCCACATCAGCCTGGGCGGGAGCCAATGTGAGCCGAGCGGGACGGGCCTGGGGACGGCCTGGGGACGGGCATGCGGAAAGCCTAGGATGCCCCCCCAGGAGGCACAGGGACCGCTAACCCTGGCTGCAGTGGCCCAGATGAACGGAGGTGGCAGCACCACTGGTCTGGAACACGGCAGCCCCGGGCCGAGGATCTCAAACACCCTCCGGGAAGAGAAACACGTCCATCCAGAACCGATGAGGGGCCCGGGAGAGTTCCCGAGGGGGCGGGGGACCCAGTCAGCACCCCGGGCCCTCCCAGATCCCTCGCCCCGGAAACGCAGATGGGGAGAGCTACGGGTGGACGAGGGCGCCAACCCCCTAGGGGCTCCCGGCAGACGGGGTCCACGTGTGCACTCGGCAGAGCTAACGAGCCACCTGCACACGCCCCTGGCCAGGCAGCCCGGCGGCCGCAGGGGGACGGGCCAGTGCAGACAGCAGCGCGGCCAGCATCCCCCGCCGCCCTCAGGCACCGCTCCCTCCGGCGCGTCCGGGAAGGCGGCTCGGGCACGCGGCTCGGGGCTTCGGCCTCCACTGCGGCTCTGACGAGCTCCCTGGTGAGGCTTCTTGGAAATCAGTGCCTGTAATGTAATCACAGCTGCGGGGCCTGGACAAGCCCGCTCCGTGGCTCGCTCCGTTATAATTATTACGAAAGCGCAGTGAAGACACAGCTGGGGGAACCGAAACCTGGGGGGGCCCCCCCCGCACCTTGCGCCACGCCTGCCCGGGGGCGCCCAGGCACTGCCCCTTCCCGCTGGCTCCCGGTGGAGCCGTCCGACCTAGGTAAGCAGGCAGTGCCAGGGTGGGGGGAGGGCGGGGGCAGCCGGTGACCACGGCCGCCCTGGGCTCCCGCCATCGGTCCCACACAGGCCCACCAGCAGCAGTGCCCTGGAACCCCAAGAAAACCACCCCTGCGCACGGGTGCCCCCTGCCCCGCTCTGCTCTGCGACCCGACCCCTCTGGGCCCTGTTCCCTCTCATGAAGGTGGGGAGTCAGACACTGTCCACAGGCCCTCAGTCCTGGCGTGACCGGCCAGCAGCTCCGGGCCACCTCTTCGGAAGCAAGACCAGCACCACCCAGGACACCGGGTGGGGGTGGGGGAGGGGAGTCTCCTCAAAGCGGCCACAGGGATCTGATGATGGAGCGGCCAGCGATGCCACCCCGAGCCTCTGCCCCGTGCGCTCCGGCTGGTGGCAAGGCCTCGTGCACCAGTGCCTGTGACACACCATGGGGAACAGCCCCCTGACTCCCCGGGGAATGCTCACCAATGACACCCTCACCTGTAGCGCGCCTGGCACGGCCCTCGGTCACCAGACAAAACAGAAAAGAAGCCACAGCGGGGCCCCCGCCTGCCGCCGGGCAGCACCTCCCCTGCTGGCACGCCAACCCCACTCCTGGGGCCCCCCGACCCCCACAGACAGCCCAGCGGTGCAGCTATACCCTCGGCCGCTGCAGAGCCCGGGCCCCCACGCCGTGTCCCCAGCATACGCGGGGTGGGGCTGGCTCACAGCCAGAACAGTCCCACGGCCGACCCCGACCCCGACCCCGACCCCGACCCCGGCGTCTGCTCCTCCCGCCGGGAAAGCCAGAGGCCTCCCCACAAGCGGCCGCTTCCGTTCTGCTCGCTTCGCCTCCCGTGCGGCCCACGTCGGGGATGTCGCGCTCACGGCCTCCATCCGCCAGGTTTCCGAGCGAGAGGGGGGGGCCTGGGCGCGTTACGGCCGCTGCGGCTTCTGCCCAGCAGACATGCGGCCGACGTGAAACACGACCCTCCCGTCCCGATGTGGACAACGGCCCTGCTGGAGGGTGGACACCTCAGGCCGCCGTCCCCAGCTCCTGCAACGGAGCCATCCTGCCGGACCTCCCGCAGCCCCCATCAGAGAGACCGGACAGGAGGTCAGGGCTGGGGGCCCAGTGGGAGACGGGGGACACAGGACAGCTCGCTGCTCAGGGAGAGGGCACTGCTGCCCTTTCTGGGACCAGGGGCGCGGGAAAGAGGAGAAGGCAGACAGGGCGGGCGGACAATGTGGCCATCGCCCCTGTACCGGGTTGACTAGGACCCCCCCCAAAAACCTCTGAATGTCACATGAAACTAAGGTCTTGGCCGATGGCATTGGTCAGGATGCGGTCTTACGGGATTGAGGGTGAGCACTAAAGCCAACTGTCCTCCTGAGAGGGACACACGGAGTGGGCAGAGGTGGGAGCGGTGTGGCCGGGAGAGGCAGGAGGGACCGTCCCCGAGAGCCTCCGCAGTGTGGCCCTGCGACATCCTGACGTGGGACTTCAACCAGGACAGCACAAATTCCTACTCTCTAGACTGCCCGGTTTGTGGCTTTTTTCAGCACCTCAGGAGACACACAACCCCCACCCCACTGACCTTGGCCTTGACCCCACCTCCGAGGGAACAGGACACACTGGCTTCGGACAGGTCTGCTCGGGCTCAAACGACATCCGTCCACGGAGAACCTGGATGGCCTGGGAGCAGCTGTGGGGCTGAGAGCGCCACGCCCCCAACCCCCGGGGCAGCAGGGGACACCGGATTGGGCACGGCCCCTATTACCTCCCCACACGCAGCCCAGCACTGGGCTCCGAACTCTAGACTCAGGACGCCGGACAGGCGTGGCCGCTGTCCAGCCAGGATGAGACCTGCCTTTCTGGGGGCGGCTGGTTCTGATATGTCCCCAACATCACACGTTCAGGTTCCTCGTCACTGGGCACTCAACGGTCCTCGCTCCTAGGCCCAAGGCCCAAGTCCTTGCATGCACACAGGGTCCGGTGCGGCCCACCCGCTCCCCACCCCGCGCCCCACCGCCCCGTCCTGCCCTGGCCCCACGCACGCCCCTCGCCGTGACCACGGGCCCGGCTGGCACGAGCTGTTCAGGAAACACAAACGTCAGGCAAAAATCCCCCAGAGTGACCAGACGCAAAGTCCACAACAGGACAGTCGCACGGCCGTGACATGGCTGCCCAAGACACACTGCCATGCATCACCAAGCAGCCTCAGACCAACCCAGACCAGGGGGCATTCTGCAAAACTGGCCTAGACTCCAGAGTCCAGGTCACAAGAGGCAAGAAAAGACCACAGAACCTTCCAGATGGAGGGAGCCCAGGAGACACAGCGAGACTCGAATCCGCACACGTCCACGTCCACAGGAACAGAGAGGGACGCAGCTCACGGGCCATCGACAGAGGGACGGACAAGCCAAATGTGACCCAGCCACACACCGGACGGTCACTCAGCCTCAAAAGGAAGTCCTGACACCGGCCACAGCGTGGTTGGACCTCGAGGACACGGTGCTCAGTGAAACGAGTCAGTCACAGAAGGACGCGTCCCGCGGGACCCCACTCACGGGAGGTCCCCAGGGGGCTCAGATCCACAGAGACAGGAAGTAGGCGGTGGGGCCGGGGCTGGGGGAGGGGCTGGGGGTCAGAGTTTAACGGGGGCAGAGTTCCCGTCTGGGAAGATGACAAAGTCCTGGAGGTGACGGTGGTGACGGCCACGCACAGTGTGACTGTGCCGGATGCCACCGAGCTGTGCGCTCACCCCTGATTAAGATGATCGATTTTCTGTATAAGTAACTAGAATTTTTTAAATTAACATTTTAAAAGCAGACCTGACAGGTGCCTGGAAGGTGGGTCCACCTGATCGGCTAGCTGTCAAGGCCGTCCAGGTGAGAGCTGGCCGGGCGGTCGGTGGTCAGGCGGGCTGTCTGGCTCTCGATGACCTCTGGGCAGTGGGGGTGGACAGCGGGCAGCCCTCGTTTCAGTGGGACACCAGGAGTCTGCAGGCCTCACTCACCCCCAGATGGCTCTGGACAAGGGTCTTGGTTAGCTACACGGTTTCTCTAAGTTTAACGTCCATCTGTTACGTTTCCTTAGATACCGGAGCCAGCGTCCCTCGCTGCCCGTGCTGGGCGCAACACCTGCCACATGACCGCTGGACCTGCCTACCCAGGAGGCCGCCTTCCGGGACCGTCGGGCTGGAGCACACTGTCACTGTGCCCCTCGCCCCGGAGGAGGGCTGCCTGACCCTGGATCCCCAATCCCCGGTCGGGCGTCTAAAACCTTCAGAAGCGCACCCCAAAGCGTGGTCGGCCTTCTGGGCTTGAGCAGGAGAGGCCCCGTGCCAGCAGCGGGACAGGGGACGGGGGGACATCCCGAACACCCAGAGGCCCCCAAGCGGAGGCGGGGACCGACTCCAGGGAGCTTGGCGGGGGCCCTCCATCCTCCTGAGTGATCAGGGCTCTGAGCACTGGCCCAGGGCGCCCCCACGGGGCGGCCCCCACGACCTCTGTGGCCCGGTGGTCACCTGCGCTGGTCGGGTGCAGAAGCTTGCTCTGCTCGGCTTAGAGCGCTGGGCGGGTGACCCAGGGGACTCCGCTCCCCGCCAGGAGAGGCCCCAGGCCTGTGCCCCGCCCACCAGACCAGCCCTGCTTCTCAGGCTGCGGTGAGCGCGGCAGAGCCCCCCGAGGTCCGGGCTGGTTTGGACCCCCAGGACGGCACCACTCCTCGGCACCCCCACCCTGCGGCCTGGGGCCCCTTCCTGCAGTAGGGCCACGAGCTTTTCCCTCTGCCTGATTTCTTCATTATTTCCCCAAATTCATGGTCTGACTTTTCTGCTTGGGGGATGGAAGGGACACAGGACGGGAGGACTTGAGGGCCATGCGGCCCGCGCAGCCAGGACCGGCCCCGGGCCCAGCCGCGGCCATGCGCCCGGCCTCTGCAGGCCCCTTCGCGTGACACGGACGGCCAACTAAACTGGGTTACGACAATTAACACAAATTCTGCCTCCTGTCCCCAAACTTACATAACGGCAGACGCTGTCTCAGGAAGACGCTCCTCCATCAGTGTCCCCATTTCCTGCCCTGCACCCCAGCTCTGCTCCTCCTGCAAGCAAAGCTGCTTCTGGACTCCGCGGCCTGCGCGGGCCCTCGGCGCCCCGCATGGCACTCGGTCTGGGTCTGGCCTCCCGCCCTTCTGGGCAGCACGGGGTGGAGCCAGATGGCTGTCTCAGCAAGGCCTGCCCCCCACGTCCAAGACAGCGCCCCCACAGTCCCCTCCAGGCACTAAAGCATTCCTACGAGCCCCCCCTGCCCCGGGCCACCCAGAACCTCAGTATGGGAACTTACGCGAACATAGGGTCCTTCAGACGTAATTAGTTAAAGACCTCAGAATGAGATGGCCCTGGGTTAGGGAGGGTCCTACACCAATGACTGGTGTCCTAAAAATATGAGGGACGGTTAGACACACAGAGAGAAGACGCACATGTGACAAGGAACGCAGAGATGGGAGTGACGTGTCTACAAGCCAAGGGCACCGCCAGAAGCTGGAAGAGGCGAGGTCTCCTCGAGAGCCCCGAGAAGGAGCCAGCCCCACCCACACCTTGATTTTGGACCGCACAGGTATTTGATTTTGGTGCTCACAGGCCCACACCCTCCTTCCGGCCTGTCCCCTCCCAATGGGTAAACAAACCCTACTGCCCTCCTAGAGCCGACAGATCCACAGGAACCCCAAGAACAGCAGTTGCAGAGTGGGGGGCAAGCCACAGCTGGGGGGGAGGAACGGGCTTGGCAGGAAAGGGAGGAAAGCGAAAGCAGGCACAGCCCCCCCTCTGCCCTCGAAGTTTGAACACAGAGCCCACGAGGTGGCCTTTTGGGGGCCACTCTGCTGACGAGACGTGGGATGCACCACACTCTTTTCTCCTTCGAAGCTCAGTCTGCTTCCCCCACGTCACACATGGGGACACTGAGGCTCAGGGAGGCCACAGTGTTGGCCCAGGGTCCCATAGCAGTGCCACAAAGAGTGCGGTTCAAGTCACAAGACAACACTCCCCCAAACCCCGGCTCTGTGGGCGGCGGCCGCTCGGCTGAGGACGGCTCTGGATGGTCCCAGGAACTGTCCGGGCCCCGTCTAGTCCCCGCCGCCCGCAGAGCCCTGTCTGCTCCTGTCTGAGCGGCCCCCAGGGAGTGAGAGAGAGCGTTCCCTCTGCCCGGGGGGATGACAACCCACGCCAGGCGCCCCGCTCCCCGACATCGCCGGTCGCCTCAGCTGGAGGTACAGGCGTCAACATGAGGATGGAGGGCGGCCGGCACGGGGGTGGCCATCGGGGGCAGCACTCGGCCTCCGTGGCTGCCAGCGGACAGCGTCTCTGAGTGCCCATGAACAGTCCTCCCACTGTGTGGGGTCGGGGGCGTCATCACCCAAAACTAGCCCTGTCCGACGTCTCCATTACAGGCAGACAGTGCATTCAGTCGGAAAGAATCTTAAAGCTGGTCGACTGCAGCCCCCTCCAACCAGACCCAACTGGGGAGCGGATGGGGGGCACCTCTCTTGGTAAAGAAGGGGGCCGCCTTCAGACTCTGCCCTGCCCGCCACAGCCACCGTTTTCCCCCGGGGCTGCCACAGCCCTGGAAGCTGCAAAGCCAGGTGTTAAGTCGGTCGATAGGACCGTGGAGGTCCTCAGGGACTGACGAGCAAGTGCTGGGAGCTCATGGGTCCCCAGGTCCAGTTACTGCCAGAGCCTGTCACTGTTAACCACAAGTGACCTCAGTTAAGGCCCACACCCACCTGCCAGGTCCCCGCACGGAGCCAACGCTCACTCAGGAAGCTTCACGGGCCGGGTGGCAGGCCCGAGACGAGAGCCCTGGTGTGACATGGTGAAGGGTGACAGGCGTGCTCTGGGCACCCAGCTCTGACCCCGCTCTGAAGCCTCATCTGTGTCCATCCTGTTCCGATGTCCCCCATGCCTCCCTCATCCCTCCCGTGTCCCCCCTGCCACGGAACAGAGGCGAGGCCAGCTGAGGAGCGAGGGGACGGACTCCTTCCTCTCAGTGTCCTGAGACCCAGCCCAGGGACTGCTGCTGTTCGGTGAGCCGGGATGGCGTCGCCCCCCGAGGGACCCACCCCATTCGCATCCTGGGAGAAGGCTTCCAGCGGGCAATTTGCATAATATTCTTTGCAAGTTAATATCAGCCTCTGATAATGATCTCGACATAGCGTGGAACGCTGAGGCGGCTGTTACAACACTAAGTAATCATATTTTAAATTATGTTTCCCTTTATAGAAAGGTGTTGCAAAAACACACAGACATGAAATCTGTCTGTTGCAGCCCCACTGCCAACCACCTGACCAGCTTCCCAGCCCGACGGTTGTGATTGCAGCATTGGGACCCACAAAAGCCAGCCCTCCGCCTCACGGGACAACGACAGGCCACAGGCCACCGCCGTGCCCCCCACCCTGCCCGAGCCTCGCCCGGGCCAGGGGGCCCTTGCCAGCAGGGGCGCCACCCAGGTCTGAACCACCACTGGCTCCGGCCACAGTCAAGGGCAAGTCTGTGCAGACATTCCTGGGGCTCCCTCCCCAGGCTTGCACCGGAGACCCCAGCACCCATGAGGCCAGGCTTCCACGTAGCACCAGAGGCCTGGCCGGGGCACGCCTGTCACCCCTCACCATGTCACACCTCGACATCCTCTCCCCCGATCGTGACTGCACCCCCAACTCTGGCGCTTCCTGCCTGTGGCACGTCCCACAGCCTGGGAGCCAGACCCCAGGAAGGTGACCTGGGGGACCGGGCTGAGACCCGGAATACATACACTGCGCTAAGCACAAGTTCACGCTCAGTGTCACCCCTGGGGTGACAGCGGGGACAAGGCCCGCATGGCACCACAGGGAGAGAGGACAGGCCAGGAGCTCGGGGGGCCGGCAGCCCAGGACAGGCCAGGGCTGTGGAGGGCCCAGCGCCCGCTCCGACGGGCGGTGACCGCGGAGGCTCATGTCCCCTCTCCACTCCTGCCTCTGTGTCTACGAGCCAAGGCCACCACTCAACCTCTATTTTCTTAAAAGCTTTTTTTTCCTTTTTTTTTTATTTTAAAAAAATCCAATTATAGCACAAATCTCTCAGCAGGGGTCAGTGTGGAATAAGTTAATGGACAGGACACAGGCAAGATTAATGCCTAAAGGGTTCCAAAAGTTGTATGATGCGGATTTCATTAACATTTTAATTGTAATGTATCTTTTTAATCTTCTCTCACCCTAATGGCTTTATATCCAAAAAAAAAAAAAAGGAAGAAAAAACCGCTGACAACAACAAAAAGTATCAATATACAAAATTTAACAAAGGCGCTTAGCAGCGCGACGGAAACTAAATTCAATGAGCAAAACTGTGTTAACATTGTGAATCTTTTAAGAGCACAGGAGTCCAGAATGCGGCGAAGGCGGTCACTTCTCCCTTCGGGGCACAGAGACGGGGACAGGTGAAGACGGGACCTGGGGTAGCTGCTAAGGGCCAGGGACCCCAGAAGGGACAACGCCTCAGACCCAGGTCCTTCTGCTCCAGCAGAAGTCAGGGGGGTTTCCTCCAGACACCCCAGCAGCCCTGCCTGCTCCCTACTGGCCAGACTCCAGGAAACACCAGTCTTCGGAACACACCGGCCGCTGGGGCGGAAGCCCCCTGGGAGCCTGGGGACGGGGAGGGGACGTCTCCTCTATAACTAGGGGAGCCACTATAACGAGGGGGGAATTTTGTGGGGCAAGGGGCGGGGGCTGTGGACAAGCAGGCATCCCGCCCCCAACGCCTACAGTGAGGGGTCCCCAACAGCTCCGGCGGTACAGCCACATATTACTGCCTCCAATTTTCAAAGATGTGTCTCCAGAAATACACTTGGCTCTGACCGCCAAGGGCTCAGGAAATTTTTATTTTCAATCAACAAACACTCCTAGAGCACCCAGCCTGGGCCTACTGCTGTATCTGATGCTTCTCAGCAAATCCAGCACCCTTCGCATCTACTCCCTAGGTCCAGGCCACCCTCAGGGACCCAGTGGCCGAGACAGTGGGCCGGCCTACCCTGGGCGGGGGACACAGCCCCACAGCCCAGCTCATGGCTCACCCCAGTGACTATATATGGACACTTTCAGGCCCCTGCCGCCCCGCCCCAGCCCTGCCTGCTTCCCAGGAGCAGGGGCAGGCACTGGGCGGGGCCCAGGAGCTCCCAGCCCATCCATGGCCAAATGCCCTCCTGGCTGCAGAGCCCAGGGCCGAGGGGGAGGGGCAGGATTCCTTCCGAGAGACCCAGAGCCAGCCTCTGCTCCCCACAGGGCCAGAGAAGCGGCCTGGAGCAAAGTATGCCTCCATCCTCCCTGGAGACAGAGGAGCAGCCTCTCCTTAAAGGGGCGTGCGCCTGTGCTGGCTCCGGCCTGCTTCCTGGGAGGGGGCATGTTGAGAGGCCCTCAGGCCAAGCCCATCCTGCACGGAGGCCCCGGGCTGGGCCCACTCACCACCAGCCTCCCAGCACCGAATATGGAAGCTACTAAGTAGCATCCCAAGGTGCAGGCCAGACCAGGCGCAGAGGGGACCGTTACCCACCCAGACTCACGGCCTTGGGCTGGACGTGACCTGGGGGAGACTGCGGAGCTCCCACAGGACTGCCTCCTGCCTGGACACGGGCCCAGCCGGCAGCGGCTGGGGGTGGAGCAGGGCCCAAGAGCCCCACTCCCTCCCCCTCCCTTCCCCTGCTCAGAGGTGCGCCCAGGCCTTGATGGGTGCCCGCTGTGCTTGTCCTGGGTGCTGCTCCCCGCTCCAAGGATGCCGACCACGGGCCACCAGAGAGCCCTGCTCCAAAGTTCGCGTCCCACACACTTCAGACCCCTGTGTGTCCACCCAGCCGCCCCTTACAGAGATCCTAGCCCCAGGCCACCCGCTTCCAAAACCTGAACTTTAAAGACAAAGGCCAGAGGCCGAGGAGGAGGAGGAGGCCCAGCTCCCAGCGATCAAGCAGCTGCAGGTGACAGGGTGAGCTGCGGCCAGCCCCACAGCATGTTTTGCTAATGACCTCATCCAAGCCAGGCCTGGGGAGCGATTCGCAGATTCCCCCGGAGGTGAGTGGTGCCTCGAGCCCTGTTAAGTGCTTTTTCCCAGGCAGCACCTTGGGGCCCGAGGCCCGGAAGGGCCGGAGGGCATGACCTTGCAGACATACCTGGG